TGTGTTAATGTTAATTGTACACTTACTTAATTTTTACAATATAACATTTATTTCATTTTAGTTTTCTTTTTTTTTTATTATATATATACTTCTTCACTTTAACTTTGTTTATATGGAACCCTGGAGCCGGGGTCCTCACAAGCTTCTTCTTCCAATATTGTACATACTTATTATTAGGTAAGGGTTTAGTGATATAGTTTGTCCTGCATTGTTTGATTAGTCTTAACAAGTGTCTGTTATTTTCAGATTACCTGTAGTTCTATTTATGGGTAAATCGATAATTAGGTTAAATACCTTGTTTTCTTCAACACATAAAATCCAGTACATATGTTTATTTCACTACTCAATTTCTTAACATTTACAATATATTGACTGCTTAATTTTCGTTATTCTTTATAATTTTTACTTCTTATTATTGATATTGTTTGTGGGGGCCCCTGGGTGCCAGAGTCCACCCTTCCTGAGGGCAATATTGCTCGCCTTCCTCCAACAATGGCTGAACCCATTTCAGAAGACCTAGATCTGTCAGTTTTTTTAAAGACATATTTCACAGTACAATATTCCCCTCCTTCTCCAGACATTGTTTCATGATGAGCATTTTTCTCTATCTTGTGGGAGAGGTTAGTTGCATGCCTCACCCTACACAGGTTTTGGTTATTTTTGCCTTAGCTTACCATCAGGCAGATTTTCTTCTTGATTATATGTCCTTAGGATCTCTGTCGACTGTATAGGGGCAGCCTTTGTTAACCCTGTCACAAGGTTTTAGTGAATTACATTCAAAATTTTATTAATCTACTTTTTGTTTATATTATACCAATTAGTATAGCATAAAATCGTAGCTAATAATCCATATTTTAAAAGTAAATAAATTTTAAGTCCTTAATTTTATAAGGCACTATTAAAAAAAAAAAAATCCAAAATTTTCCCTTGTGTGAGAAATGTGATGTTTATTTCTAGGCATCCTCTTTTCTCTAATTTATTCACCACACTTCCAATAAGTACAAAATTCAACATAAAATGCTCACTGTAATATTATAATCTCTCAGACAAAGCATAATTTTTATAGTCATCAATCTTGTTTGGTTACAGAGCCATAAAAGAGAAAATCAGAACCCTCTTACCACATCCACGTGTCACATCCTCTCTTTCTGGATTTGTTAATAGCTCTTTCTTACAGCTAATACTATAATATATATATAACCAATAGAAAGCCAATGTTTTCATCTATCAAATGATGTATTATATTATGTTGTTTTCTGTTTAATTATAAATGGATGTATACTGTTCCGAGTTTAAAGCTGCTTTGGATAAACGAAGTAGTTTCATGTTAAAATTTGAAGTCATTCTAGAAAGAAAAAGGGTAATTTATATTTATTTCAAATTTTTTTTGGTGGTTAAGAGGTCAGTCAAATTGACCAATGTTGTATAGAGTTAGGGTAGAGAAAATAATAGATGAAATATAAAGTTTTATTGAAAACAAACATTTAAAATGTATTTAGGAGGTTTTAGGGATTACAAAAAGGAAATTTGAGAGTTTTGAGATGATAAAAAGTATTTTTAATTTTAACATGAAAAATACTTTGCACATGGACTATTGAAAACAAATACTCTATATTCATGAACAAATCTTTATTTTATTTGATTAGAAATACTTCACTAAGAAATGTGACTTTTTGTATGTGAAACACTTGTAATATTAAGTGAAAGACTGCCAAATTTCGTGAAGATATACCCAATATATTGAGAATTATCGATAAAGAATTTAAATGATACAAAAGGTACATGACTCGGTCAAATTGACCGATCTCGTAGTGAGAGAGTTAATACTAAGTTACGTTATGATTTGTAATTATTTTGTTGTTTTTCTTCTATATCATTTGACATTTGGCATTCCCTACATCATTTACTTCCTGCTTATCACTATGTTGACTATTTCATTTTGTTTTCTCTATAGTTTTACAGTTACTTTTGTTTAATCTCTACTTTATACTCCTTAGCATTAATTTTGTTTCGTTTATAATTCATCTTTCATACCAGTAATTTAAATTCATGTGTTGGTCCCTGGGAGCCAGGGTCAGCCATATCTGCTTCCACTATTGCTCACTTTCTCCATCTAATGGCTGAACCCATTTCCCAATGTCATACAATTGTCAGTTCTCCCTGACCTTATCATGGAATCCCTTCCATACTTCTATTGCAGTATCTGCTAGACCTCCTTTACACATTATCAGACATGTTATCCAGAATATTATCTTCATGTTTCCTGTGCTGTTCCTTTTATATCTTTTGAGTTTGGGTACTTACAAGCCTTCCCTTCTATGGGCTTTCAATTTTACCTTAGTTTAACTTCAGGCAGATTTCTTCTGGCATTTGTCATTCTTTTTTTCCCTTTCATTGCTTTTTCCTTTAATGTTTCAATTTCCCTTTATACGGTGTTCTGTTTACACATTGAATTTGTCGAGGGATACCTCCTCTTTCCTCCCTCCATGTTGGGGTTTTTCGCCATTTTCAGTTCATTCCCTCCTCACAAGAATTCTTTGCTTTTGGGTTAGTATGGTGTGACATTGCTGTTTGTTTTCCTTTCCCTTATCAGTAGGGTTTTACAGTCTGTTCCTTTTCCTTTCTTGTCCAATTTTTTTTGGGGGTGTTGCTCTTGAGGATAGCATCTGTTCACAATTCATCTCTTTTCACGTGTCAGATCTACTCTTTTGGGCCCCCTCACACAATACTCATATCCTTTCATGTCATGTTCTGGGTGCTCACGCTTGGATCACAGTTTGTTTTTCTCATCCCGATACATTCTATTCATCAGAGTGGTCTATTGATTTTCTTGTTATCAGGTGGCTTTGTCTTCCATGGGATTTTCCCCACATAGATCCTCTAGCTTCAAACACAAGTCCTTCTCCTCTATGCCTTTGCACATCGGAGGTCAAATTTGTTTCCCATGATGTTTCTCGTACATTTTTCCTGCTCCCTCTCTTTTCCTTTGTCCAGACCTTCCTTCCTACCCAAGACATCCTTTTGCTAATTCCCTTCCTTTCATATCCCATCTTTATCCTCGTCATAATCCAGATCAACTGCTATGTATGGTCTGTGCTCTTCTTTGTTTTATTGCCCATGTGGCTTCTTTCCATGGTGCCCACTCCTGCCTCTTTATTCATTGGCAGTTTTCCTTGAGTCGAGATCTTTCTCCTTCTGCTCTCACCAATTGTGTTTGGCTTTTGATCCCATTGGCATACTCCCTTTTATTATCTTCTTCCCGGACTTTGTTCCAGGTGTCTTCTCATTAGATTTGACATCCTTACCTTTTCCATGGCATCTCGTCTTTGTTGGCCATTGGGGGAACTCCTACATTTGGGCATGAAGACTACACCTAATATATTCGTCTCCCCCTTATCTTCACCATATCACGGTTTCTTCCTCAGCAGTTTTTGTCTACCATCTGTGACCATTTTTCATACTTTGGTGCGACTCTAACTGGGTAAGTTTCTATTAATTATTTCTTTCCTTTCAGGGGCCCTTGCTTAATTATTCACTATTTGTATCCTGCTTCGTGGTTAGCGGTGCCTGACCAGGTATCCTTCAATTGAAATCCGCACTGTACAACCATGTTGAATTGCATTCTCATCCATGGCTTTGCAATGTTTACTGGTGAGATGGGGGTGTTCCACAAGATTGCTTGAAAGTGAATAACCAAGCAATGTTTTTTGCTTCATAAACATGCCCATTCCGAACCGTACCACCTATGGACTGCATGGGTAAAGCAGAAGAGGGTAGCTTCCCATCCCTACCACACCTTGATTTTGGTTTGATTTTCAAAATAGGGTTTCATGGTCACCCATTGCACTATCTCCAGTGATTACGTTCCTCTGAACTCTCCACAGTGTATTCACCCTCTTCTCTTCTAGGGGAGTGTAGGAGTCCTTACCACTTTCCAGTTCCAAGCCACTGGGGTTGTTGACCATGGAGGCACCCTCCTGAATGGGTTTAACCATTTGGTCGAAAGTAGGGCGGTGGTGTTCTGCTGGTATCGATGAATAGATGTCCTCCATCTCTGTACGCGTCTATCTAAGGGGATGTTGTAGCTTTGTAGTGAGCCACAAAAATTGCAGTTCACCCTTTCAATTGGGATCCCTCATCCTACCCCCATATGGATGTCACTTCCCAGTGGCTGGGTTTTGGATTCAGAGTTGAATCAATCAACATAAGTCCTCACACATGTATTACAGGTATTTCTGTTCTTTCACAGAATTATACTCTTGTTCACATGTGTTTTAGGTCATGGTTCCAGTCAGATTAGTTTTGAGTGAGACAGCTTACATTACAGAGACATCTTTATTAACATAACATTTTGGAACAATATGGGACCTATTGGGCCATCTTGACTCTTCCATCTTTTAAACTAAACTAAAACTATTAATAAATAAATTTAGAAAAACAAATCTTAAAGCCAGCTCTTATCATTCATATACTTATCAAGCATTCTCTTAAACTCACTTAAATTTAATGCTTCCACAACATCCAAAGACAACCCATTCCAAAGGCCAACCACCCTGTTAGAAAAATAAAACTGTCTTAGCTAAAGATAACTCCTACTCTGCTAAAATTTGTATTTGTGTCCCCTAGTCCTACTGTACTCACTGTTAAGTATGAAAAAAGATGATGCATCAACACCAT